TGTTTAGAAGAGGCTGTGGGACTAGTGATATTAGAGCTAATGTTAGATGGATCTTGGATGAAAGCAGGGGGTACCAGAGGAACGTCTCTGTTTCATTGACTATGCAAAGGTGTTTGACTGTGAGGATCACAGCAAACTGTGGCTGACTCTGAGAAGAATGGGAATCCCAGAACACCTCATAATGCTTATGCGAAACCTATACTTGGACCAGGAGGCAGTCATCAGAACAGAGCAAGAAAACACTGCATGGTTCAAAATTAGGAAGGGTATGCACCAGGGATGTGTCCTGTACCCATACCTTTTCAACCTATATGCAGAACAGTATATCTGGGAGGCTGGACTGTATGAGGATAAATGTGGCATCAGGATTGGAGGAAGACTCGTTAACAATCTGTGTTATGCAAATGACACAACCCTGCACGCTGAAGCTGATTATATATATTTGTTCATAGATATTTGGGATTAGGCTAAAGAGTTCATTTTTAATTGAGATTATAACAAGGCAGATTATTACAGGTATTTGGATAGGTGCAAGAATTGCTAGAATACAAATGTGAAAACATAGGTCTCTGCCCTCAAGATGATCACATTTAAATTAGAATATAGCTGTGCTTCCCAGTAATTATACTAGAAAATGCTAAATTGGAATTATCGAACTTATGTGCCCTAGTGGCACAATAGAACAGAGTAACACTGTAGAGTTTTGGTTCTCAATAACCGAAAAAAAAGCCTTAGAATGGCCCAAAAAGAGACTGTGTTTGAGCAAATCTTAGAGAGAAAGCCAGTGGTGGAAGGAAAAAGTGCAGTTCATCAGTAGGACTTGAGTGAAGAGGCCACTCCTGCCTGAAGAAACACATTCATTGCCAGTGAATCAGAATTGACTCACAGCTGACCCAGCAGTGAGTTTTGGAGGTGATGGCACATCTTTCTCCTGCAGAGAGCTGGAGGATTCAAATTGGCTGCCTTTTCATTGACAGGACAACTCCTTATCACTAAGCCCCTAGAGCGCCCTCTACAGGGAGGAGGTGGGAGAGGATGCTAGAGGAGTTTGTCAGGATGGCCTGGGGAAATAAGCCACTACTGGCAGAAGGAACAGAGTGTACAAAGTCACACAAATAGGATGTTTGTACTATAAGTCCCTCAGGACTGTGGGAGTGTAACTCATGAAGAATGAGGGTGAGAATGTGCAAGAGTGGTGTTTAGGCAAAGTTGAAGAGACAGGGTCTCCAGTCACTAAGAACGTCACTGATGTTGCAGAAGAGTTTTTGTTTCACCAAGTATTGTTTGAGAAAGAGAGGATTGCATGTTCAAATGTTAACATGATCACTTCAGAAGCAATGCTAAGGTACTGTAGAGTTCAGCTAACTTCAGGATAGACCCCTTAGGTTGCTTGCGACTCATAGTGACCCAAGTACAACAGCCCTAAGCTCTCTCCTCTGTCCTGTGCCAATTGCACTGTCTCTAACACACCCAACCCAATAACCCCAGTCACTGAATCAATCCACCTCATAGAGGGTCTATCCTCCTGTACCATCCCTCCACCCTCCCAAGCATGATGTCCCTCTCCAAGGACCAGTCCCTCTTTACAACATGTCCAAAGTATGTCAAACGAAGCCCCAGAATCCTTGCCTCCAGGGAGCAGCCCAGTTTAACCCTCTCCAGGATGAATCTGTTTGTTTTCTGAGAACTCCAAAATTCAGGCCAGAGTTTGAAAGCCCAGATTAAGGCATTTCATGGTGAAGGAGAAGAAGATACCAACATCTTGAGATATTTAGGATGTAGACTTGTCAGAGATTGGTGATTAATTGTAAGTCTACGTGTTAAAAAGAAAACCACCAAAAAACATAGACTATATTGGCGATCACTTACATGAACATACAAATACGTATAAACCAAAGATTGTTAGTAGCTGCCAAGAGTGGGAAGGAAGAAAGGGAACTTTTTACTTAAGGACTACTGAGTTTATATTAGTGGTGTTGTGGTTGTGTCCCATAGAGTTGGAAGCCACCAATAGCTGACGCTCCGGCAAGTTTTCAGAGGTAGTTCATTGCATGGGAGGAGTTTGCCCATCTTTTTCCATGGAACAGCTGGTGGCTTTGAACTGAGTGCCTTTGGGATTGCAGTGCAGCGTATTTCCACTAGGCCACCAGAGCGCCCTATAACAGTGATAGTGGAGTCATTTGGAAAAGACTAGCAAGAATAGTTGTACAACATGTGGAAATTGTTGATGGCAAGTATTTTGATAGATATTCTTCCACTTTTTAAAAACAGTATATTGCTTGGCTTAAAATAGGCACCCAAACACATTAATTTGTAGATAGAATACTAGAAAAAAGGCAAATTTAGAGAAAAATAAAGTTTGCATATTTCTAAACTTTTGCCTCTTACATCTAAAGTGCCAAGAGAAGAATCTGAATAATAATCCTCGGAATTCTTCAATATCCTACCATTTATAGGAAATGGGTTCAACTCTTAAACAGAAGAAAAAGTCCCTATATTCAAAGAAATACCAAAGGAAGAGTGGCCCACACAGGCCCATCTCTATGCTCTCCCTGCCTCACAGAGGCGTGATCAGATGAAAGGGAAAAAATATAGTGTGAATTCAAGGGCTTTGTCCAGTCATCTTCCCCCTCCTGATGCCTAAAAGTAACTCTGGTGGCTCAGTGTCCTGTAGTGTTTAGCTGTTAATGGGAAGGTCAATTATTAGAATCCAACAACCGCTCCTCCAGGGAAAGATAGGCAGTCTCATCCTGTAAAGATGGACAGTCTCAGAAACTGATGGAAAATAATTATCAGTCAGAATCAACTCAACAGTGGATTGGGTTTACTGTCTATGATGCCCAATGTAGATTTAGGAGTGGTACTCCCAACAAGCAAACTGTTATAAAACATTCTATTCCAAATGATGTTTGTAAGTGTGGAGACTAAGGTGCACCTGATCCAGGCCATGGTCTTTGCAATTACTTGCTATGCATCAGAAAGCTGGGCAATGCTTAGGGATGATAGAAGGAGGAATGATGCCTTTGAGCTGTGGTGCTGGAGAAGAGTATTAAATATACCATACACAGCAAGGAGAACAAACAGGTTCATTGCAGAGAGGGTGAGATCAGGCTGCTCCTTGGCAGAAAGGATTCTGAAGCTTTGTCTGACATACTTTGGACATATTGCAAGGAGGTACCAATCCTTGGAGAGGGACATCATGCTTGTGAGGGTAGAGGGACAGCACAAGAGAGGAATACCCTTGATGAGATGGATTGATTCAATGACTGGGATAATGCAGTAGGTGTATCAGAGACAATAGGATTGGCACAGAAAAGAGTAGGGTTTAGGGCTGTTGTACATAGGGTCACTATGAGTCACAGATGACTCAACGGCACATAACAACAACCACATTTCAAATGAGCAGCTCATGAGATGTTTTAAAATTTACCTGGGTCCTCTTACCACAGCTGTGACTACAACATGCTGAAAGGTCAAATTAAAGACTGGAAAGTCCACTCAATGACGGCCAGCAGTTTCATACTCATGCTACAAGACATAGGAGGTCATGTAAAGGTGCAGAGAGTAAATGATAGAACCCTGTTTGTGGGATCACTTACATTTAGGTAGTTATTATATTTTTTAAAAAGCCACTGTGCTTGCCAAATAAAACATTTGAACATAACCTCCACAGGCCTAACTAGTTTGACGCATCGGATCTGATTGTTATTAAATCCTCTTGAACAAGTTGGAGGTAAACATTGTTGAACTACTTGAAGTTTTCCTGGTTTCACTCGTCATCCAAGGTTCAGCCTACTATGAACACAGGGTTTTCATCCACTGAGACTCACACAACTCAGTTCCTACCACTCTTTTTTTTCTCCTCTTCATTAACCCAAAGCAGAACTTATCAAGAAAAAGTTCTCCTCCTACCTTGCGGATGGGCTCCAGGGGAGACCAGATGCCCTCCAGTTCTCACTCCAGGGTGAGCAGAAGCACAGAGTCCTACAGCCTAATAAATTTAGGTAAGACAATGTTGACTAAACATTTAGTGACACTAATTTAGTGTGATGTGAATTCCTCTTATATACAACCTCTTTAAATTGCTTTCAACTTCTTAATAAAGAGATATCTTCCACATTCTTACCATCCATCCTCACCCTCCACATCATTCTCACCCACTGTTTCCTCATTTGATATATCACATGGAAGGGGGCCATGTCTAATGAATTGAAAGTTCTGAATATGGGCCCTTTTCTAGGTATTCAAAGATCCTTCTTTCTACTTCCTTTCCCAGATCATTGGCAATCAACATACCCCAAGAAATATATAAAAGCAAGTCCCTGATGCTTCAACTCCATCATACTGGCCCCATGAGAAGCAAAGAGCAGTTGCTATTTCAGAATTACAGAGCGGCTAACCTCACTGAAAAGAAGCCACCAGATCAGGAGAACAAGTCTAAAAATCCACCTGAGGGTATTGACTCCTGCAAGAGCCTCTCAATCCCAGATCAAGATCTCTCCAACAACACCACAGACATCAATCCTGGCTCCAGTCCCATAGATGATAGTATAATAGCACAAGGTGATGAAAGCATATCTACAGATGGCTATCTACAGACTGACCAGGATACTGGGGAAGAAATCTCTCCAAGTCCCATGGGATGTACAGGAAACATCAATGAAGAAGCTACAAGGTCAAACTACTTAGAGTTGTTTGCAAAGGTCAAAAATGCACACTATCTCCGGCACAGAGTCCCCCCTGAGTCTGAGAGATTACTTAGCATTGGGGAGATATTTGGACATGAGAAATCTTTACCTTGGCAGGAAGGCAAGGAGTGTGAGAATAAGCCGACCACTTCCTCTCCAACCATCTAATAGAGCCTGGCAAGAGCATATATCATCATCACTAAGGAATTGTGTTTCTCTAATATTGGTGGTATTATGACTGCAGTGCTCTAAAATATGTATTATCTTCGCCAGACCGTGATTCTCCACATCATGTCATTATCATTCATTTTGCAATATGATGTGATAATCTTTTTTATCATAAATCCCAAGGAGCCCTGGTGGCAAAGTATGTCATGGGGAGGTGAACCTGCCACGAGGTTGGCAGTTCAAATCCACCAAACTCTTTAAAGCAGAAAGATGAGCAGTCCCCTCCCACAAAGACTTACAGCCTCAGAAACCCAAGGGAAGGTCACTATGATTTGAAATTGACTCAATGGCAGTTTGTTTTCTTTTCCTTCATAAATCCTGAACTCCAGGTTGTTACTTCAGATGCACCATCTGCTCTTCAGGAGAGAGAAGAGCAATCCCATTCCATGGGATTTACAGCCTCTGAAAATCCACTTGAGGGTCAGCTATGAGTCTGTTCCAACTCCTAAATGACACATAACAAAAATATGGTGTTAACGAGGCAGGACTGATGGAAGTTATGTGAATGAGTCAGGATTCAATCTATAGGGTTATGTTGTATCTAAAGTTAATCTCTTTTGAGATGTAAGAGATTAAATAGCAAGCAGAGGAGGGGATTCCTACCACCAAGAAAGACGATCAGGGAACAGAGAGCATCCTTTGGACCTGCTGGATTTCTGTGCTGAGAAACCCATAAATTGGGATATTGATGAACTTTACCTTAGAGCCAACAGAAACAGAAAGCTTTCCCCTGCAGCTGGTACCCTGACAGACTTCTAGCCCCCTAAACAGGAAGACTCTCGGTGAAATGTATTGAGTTCTGCAATGGTCTCAAAGTGTGTCAGAGACGATGAGGAAGGCACAGGATAAGACAGGGTTCAGATCTGTTGTTGACACAGTCACTATGAGTCGTACTCAACTTGACAGCACCTAAAAACAACAAAGAAAAAAACTTTCTGTTTATTAATGTCATCCACTTGGGATCGTTCTATTATAGCATCAACAGATAACTAAGTCAGGTAGTAAACAATGGAGGAGGGAAAGAAATCAGAAATATGTAACAGAATTTTCTTTTAAGCCCCCAGTTTCCTTATTTCCTTTTATAGGAACATTTCTCTGAATAAAAACTGAGA